AATTAATTTTCTACTTCATAGCTGATTTACCTTAGGATTAGCCATTATAAATTATATATACCATATATATCTTTTATACTTAAAATGTATTCTCCTTGAGGATGAGTATATGTCTTTATTGATAATGGAGGGTAGTTTAAAAAAAATCCAAATCAATGATTTCATCTTTATGGATAGCTTCTAGTGGAGGGCTCACTCTGACGATATGAATCTATAACACAGTTGTAATTTATAGTTTTAAGAGTTACCTGGGACCCTGAGATGTTAAGTGACTAGCCCATGGTCACTCAGCTAGTATATATGTTAGAGGCAAGACTCAGGTTCAGGTCTTCCTGACTCTAGCTGACTCTCTATTATGACAAGAATAGGGTTAGTACGATGTGTATTCTACTTTAAGACTTCTAATATGCTTGAACTACCCATCCTCAATTGTTCCTTGCCACAACCCTATTAGGTAGTATGAGTATAAAGATTCTCATTTTACACATGGGGAAACTGAGGCTCAGAGATGTTAAGTAGCTTATTCAAAGTCATAGGAAATAGGAAGCATCTGAGCTGAGAATTGCACCCGGGTATCCTGATTCCAAGGCCAATGCTCTTAGCACTACGCCACGCTATCTCCTTCAAGAATTTGAGTAACCGGGAGTCTGAATATCTTTTGTCTAGAGAACCTGTGTGTACTCAATACATTATTAATGTTATTACTAATGCTGATGCTATGCACTAAGACAGAACAACCTGTCTCAAAACATTTTGTGTCTTCATTTGAAGAAGTATAGAAGAAAATAAAAATGGATTCAGTTCCATCACATTCAACAAGCATTCACCTAGTACCTACAGGGCAAGGCACTGTGCTTAGAGATGATGGACTCTGACTGTTTTTGGCCATTGGTGGTTCAATGCTGAAAAGACTTGGTGTCTTCAGGCAGTGTCTTTATTGACTTCTGAGTAGGAAGAACTCGTATCTAAATATCAAAAAGGATATCCAAAAGGGGAGTAATTCTTCAGTGTTTTCTTCCTTTCCAATTGTGGATTGTGTCAGGACCATTCTGAGCCCACTTCTTGTGGGGGATTGAGAAAGACTGGTTTTCCCCATCTTCCACTTCAGCCTCCACATGTCCATGAATACATGAAAGTTAAAGTACATGTTCTGTCTAGGCAAGCCTGAGTATGGATTCTGAGCTATCTCTTTTGCATATGTACTTTCCTGATCTTAGATGAATAAGTATCTATCCTAGATACCTAGATGGCTTGGAAGCAGCCTTGTAAGTTTGCCTTTGAGGTAGCATTGTGAGTTGGAGAGGTCCATAGGTACTAGATCTTTTTGGTTGGAGTTGACTTTCACCAAGGGGTGCAGTCCCTAGCACTTACTCCACTATGCTTGGAAGAGACAACCATCCCCAAGAGGATTGGGATCCCCAAGTCTGGCCCATTTTACCAGAAGACATGGACTGGAAGTTGTTTGGACAGGAAATTAGAGGAGAGAGTTAATGGGGAAAGGAGGGTAGAGTGTGAATCAGGGAAGGCTTCAGAAAGGAGGCTGCATATGAAACTGAACCTTAGAGGAAGATGGAAGATACTGGGGAGATAAGAAGGGAGTATATTAGAGGCACGGCAGATGGCTTTTGGTCTGATTGTGGGAGGCGGAACATCAAGTGAAAGAGCAGCAGGTAGTCAAGATTGGTTGGAATGTGGAGTGCATGCAAGCAACTTATGTAAAGAAGGTTGGGCAGGGAGGTCGGAATAAACTTGGTGAGGGTCCTACAAACCAGGCTGAAGGTTCTATATGTAGTCCTTGAGGCAATAGACCCTACGATAGCAAAGCAACGAACAATAGAAGGTAGTACATGATCAATGTTAAATTTTGTGCAGCAAATGACAGCTGCATTAGGAGTTCCAAAAAGAAGGTGATCAACGAATAGTTACGGCTTTGGAAAGATGAAGGGAGGGAGTAAGGGCATTTGAGACAATGCCAGACAACAATATAAGCCAAGGCCCAGAAGTAGGAAGGAGTAGGGTATATTTGTATTTGTGGAACAGGGAGGAGATTGGCTTAAATCTAGAGTAATCATATTTTCCTTTTTTAAAAAATATATTTATTTATTTTCAGTTTTCAGTATTTACTTCCACAAGATTTTGAGTTCCAAATTTTCACCCCATCTCACTCCTCCCCCCACCCCAAGATGGCATGCATTCTGAATATCCCTTCCCCTAGTCTGCTCTTTCTTCTATCTCTTCCCCCCTTCTCTTATCCCCTTCCCCTTTTATTTTCCTGTAGGGCAGGACAGACTTCTGTACCCCATTTCCTGTATTTCTTATTTCCCAGTAGCATGTGAAAATATTTTTTTAAACATATGTTTTTAAAACTTTAGGTTTCAAATCTTCTCCCTTCCTCCCTCCCCACCCACCCTCATTGAAAAGGCAAGCAACTCAATATAGGTTATACATGTGCAGTTATGCAAAACACTTCCATAGTAGACATGTTGTGAAAAACTAACTCTATTTCCCTTAATCCTATCCTGCCCTCCCATTTATTCTATTCTTTCTTTTGACCCTGTCCCTCTTCAGAAGTATTTGCTTCTGATTACCCCTTTCCAATCTGCCCTCCTCTCTATCATCCCCTGCTCTCTTGTCACCTTCCCCTATTTTCCTATAGGGTAAGACAGATTTCCTTACCCAATTGAATGTGTATGTTATTCCCTCCTTAAGCCAAATCCTATGAGAATAAGATTCACTCATTCCCTCTCACCTTCCCCCATTTCCCTCCACTGTAAGAGCATTTTCTTTTCTGTTTTTTTTTTGTGAGATAATTTACCCATTCTACCTCTCCCTTTCTTCTTCTCCAAATATAATCCTCTCTCATCCCTTAATTTTATTCTCCAGATATGACCCCTTAATCTTCAACTCACCCTGTGCCCTCTATCTATCTATCTATCTATCTATCTATCTATCTATCTATCTATCTATCTATCTACCTATACATACATATATTTTTTTCCTCCAACTACCCTAATACTGACAAAGGTCTCATGAGTTATAAATATCATCTTTCCATGCAGGAATGTAAACAGTTCAACCTTAATAAGTCTCTTATGATTTCTCTTTCCTGTTTACCTCTTCATGTTCCACTTGAGTCTTGTATTTGAAAGTCAAATTTTCTATTCAGCTCTGGTCTTTTCATCAAGAATGCTTGAAAGTCCTCTATTTCACTGAATGACCATTTTTCCCCTGAAGGATTATACTCAGTTTTGCTGGGTAGGTGATTCTTGGTTGTAATCCTATCTCCTTTGCCCTGGAATATTATATTCCATGCCCTGTGGTCCTTTAATGTAGAAGCTGCTAAATCTTGTGTTATCCTGATTGTGTTTCCACAGTACTTGAATTGTTTCTTTCTGGCAGCTTGTAATATTTTCTCCTTGACCTGGGAACTCTGGAATTTGGCTACAATATTCCTAGGAGTTTTCCTTTGGGGATCTCTTTCAGGAGGAGATCTGTGGATTCTTTCAATTTCTATTTTGCCCTCTGGTTCTAATATATCAGGGCAGTTTTCCTTGATAATTTCTTGAAAGATGATGTCTAGGCTCTTTTTTTGATCATGGCTTTCAGATAGTCCAATAATTTTTAAATTCTCTCTCCTGGATCTATTTTCCAGGTCAGTTGTTTTTCCAATGAGATATTTCACATTGTTTTCTAATTTTTCATTCTTTTGGATTTGTTTTACAGTGTCTTGATTTCTCATAAAGTCACTAGCTTCCAATTGCTCTATTCTAATTTTTAAGGAAGTATTTTCTTCAGTAATCTTTTGGACTTCCTTTTCCATTTGGCCAATTTTTCTTTTTAGGGCATTTTTCTCCTCATTGGCTTTTTGGACCTCTTTTGCCATTTGGGTTTTTTAAGACATTATTTTCTTCAGTATTTTTTTGGGTCTCCTTTAGCAAGCTGTTGACTTGTTTTTTTGTGATTTTCTTGCATCACTCTCATTTCTCTTCCCAGTTTTTCCTCTACTTCTCTTACTTGCTTCTCAAAATCCCTTTTGAGCTCTTCCAAGGCCTGGGACTGATTCATATTTTTCTTGGAGGCTTTGGATGTAGGAGCTCTGACTTTGTTGTCTTCTTCTGGTTGTATATTTTGATCTTCTTTGTCACCAAAGTAAGATAATATAGTCTGACTCTTTTTGCACTGCTTGCTCATGATCCCGGCCAATTACTTGAGTTTTAAACTCTTTGTTAAGGTAAGAGTCTGCTTCCAGTGTGGAGAATGTACTGTCCCAAGCTTCGGGGGTTTATATAGCTGTTTTCAGAGATACTTGTAGGGACCTGTAAATTTTCAGTTCTTGCAAGGTGGTATGATAAGGGGCCAGGTGTTTACTCCTTTCCTGGCCTGTGCTGTGGTTTATTAGTGACCACAAGCACTCCTTTCTGCCCTGGAACTCTGAGGAAGGTTCCCTGTGCACAGCCACTACAAGCTCCACCGTGCCAGCGCTCCTCCTCACCCCAGGACCCCAGTCTAGAACTGTGACCCAGATCCAAGCACAGGTAAAGCAAGAGATTCCTGCCTCAGCACCAGCAGAGAGATCCCTGCAATGCCCCTCTGATCAGCCACTCGATTCCCCCTCAGTCTGTGGGCCGGAAGCTCGGGAAGCATCTCCCCACCCCAGGGCCATGCTTTTGGGGAATGGAGCTGACAGCCTACCTTCCTGTCTCAGCACCGCAGAAACAGACTTTTCCCACTGACTTTCTAAGTTGTCTTTGGCATTCATGGATTGAGGAGTCTGAAAACTGCCACAGCTGCCCACGATTCAGTCCTCTGAGGTCTGCTCCAGGTTTGCTGCGGCCTGCATGGCCACACTGCGCAGTGCTCTCAGCCCGGAGAGATATACCTTTCTGATCAATCATCCTGGTTGTCTTGGGCTGGAAATTTGTTTCACTCTGTCTTTTTGTGGGTTCAGCTGCCTTAGAATTTGTTTACAGCCATTTTTATAGGTATTTGGAGGGGTTTAGGGGACAGCTCAAGCAAGTTGCTGCTTTCACTCTGCCATCTTAGCTCTGCCCCCCATAATAATATTTTCCAATCAAATTCAAATTCACATTATTTATTCATTTGTAGAAGAATAAGCAACTTGTCTGGCTTTAGAAATAGTTTTACAAGTATGATTTCATGACTTCTCACTCATCTGCCCATAATGTCTTCATTTCATCATTTATGCCTAGAGTATGTCCATCCCTAAATACAATTGATTGGGGTTTTCCTTGAAAGTAATATTTTTCATTTTTCTAAATTGATCATCTTATTGATGGTAAATGATCAAATTTAACAGTGTAATTTATCATGCAATTTAATAACATAATTATTATCAAAACAGTATTGTAAAATTATAATAATAAATTCCAGGTTTAAAAAATTTCAGTGTCATATCAAGAAAAGTCAGAGTGACCTGAAACTTGTTGCCTCCTTCAAGTAAGGCATTTGGTAGTAAAAGTACCAAAAAAAAAAGTATGAGAAATGCAGAAGTTATAAAGGGAACTGGACAATTTATTTTTGTACTATCAACCAGACACACTTTTCTTCATTGGCTGAAGACCCACGTAAACATTACTCTTCTAAAGAAACTATTATCATAAGAACATCATTGTTTCCAAATGTTCTCACATGTATTTCTCAGGTATTTAGGAAACAACATAAAATGAACCCTTCTTTATTTTGAAACAGGAGATTATCAGAGAGCATCAGGGTAGCCTAAGGAGCTACCGGCCTACTAGTTCAATTGGCGTTTTATCCCTTATATATCAAAGAAACTGCAATACCAGGACTGGGCTGCAATCCAGTCTCCTTTTTAGAGTTAGAGTGTTAATACTAGTAAAATCCATCTCAATGGATGATTCTCTCTAACTCCTCATATGTTAACTGATGACTTCTGGGGATGCCTTTATAGAAGAAAAGAACCTGAAATAATATAAAACCTTTTTGGTAAGAAGCCCCCACCTACTTTGATGTCAAAGATCTAGGCTAGGTTTTGGAGTGCATCCTCTGTAAAGATTAAAACTAATTAAAAGTGTTGAGATAGAAGGTACTGAGAGGGCAGCAGGGTGATTTAATGTTAAAAGCTCCGGATTTGGAGTTAGAAAACATGGGTTCCAATCTTGTCTCTGCTCCTTACTGACACAAATTCATTTTCATACTATCTCATCTCAATCACTTATTCAGCTCTGGTCATCTTGTGTTTCCCTCCTTTCTTCCCTACTCTGTTTTATCACAGTCCTAAAAATGTTAATATTGCTTAGGGGTTAGGGGGGAATCATCCCTGGAATCTAACTTTCATTCGGTCTCTGAGCTTTACCAGCATGAATTACCAGTCTCTGCCTAGCCCCCAGATGTATTCTCATCCTAGACCTTCCTGGAATATGTACCCTAAGATCTCAAACATGCCTTCAAATTCCTCCAACGATCTATATCAGAATGTATGCCCACTTTCATACACACACACACACACACACACACACACACACACACACACACACACACACACACACACAGACACCAAAGAACATTTTGCACAGTCATGACAACCAACCACTTGTCTTAACCATTGGTTCTTATTTAACCTCAACCTTGTTTCTGCAGGGATGGCTGATTTGACAACTGCTTAGCCCAAGCACTGGCTCTCTGTCCTTCTGAGTTTCATCCTGAATATACCGTCACAGACCTAGGAACTAGCTCCCAACCATGTCTCTTCTATTAATTACCCCCATCAGAAGAACATCCTGAGTTTCTCTGATCTCTTATATTGCAGGAGGTAATCAGTACCTAAGGACAGCTTCCAGGCCTTTTCAATTTGGGTATCAGCCCTCACTTAGCTACCTGTGTGAACCTGGGTAGGTCCCTATACCTTTCTTGGTCTTAGTTTTCTAACCTGTAAAGTTAGAGAAAGATTTTTTTTTGGCCACTGAAGACTTTCAAGTTCTAAATACTGTGACTTTAGGACAGGGAAGCTGACTTTTTGCTGTTACTTATTAGACCTCAGGCGAAGCACTCACCCTCTCAGGGCCTCATTTTCCCCTTTCTGTTTCTGTAATCCTATGAAGGTTTAATACTGGCCTCCTGATGGACTGTCTGTAAGAAGGAAATTTTACCTGGATATATAAAGTCCTTTGTCACCATTTGTGAGGGATAGAATCTTGTAGCCACAGAACCTGAAGGTATTTTTCCTACCCTTCTTGACCTTTGTTTAACAAACATGGCTCTCCTGTATTTCTGACCCCACTTCCTGTTTGCTCTGTCTACTTCCCCCATATCTTCATCTTTGTGTTTCTTAACCTGCCTCCTAGTAATTATCCTGATTTGATTAACGACATCTTTTGGTTCCCTTCCCAGAATGACTTATGGGGCAGTCTAAGCTGTTGGAAGAGAGCTGGTTAAAAAGGGATTGCTTTCAGAGTCATGCGTGATTGCTGAAGGCATTTAAAAGCAGTTTTCTTGAGGGTATGAGAGTGGGGAGGAGGTACTGGCTTTGGGTCCTCTTTTCAATTGTGTGTTGACCTCAGTTCTTCACTTTCTTTTTTTTAACCCAGATATTTAAATAGGCCTGTTCATGACTGCAATATTTCAGTGTCAGGTACTCTATTCTTTATCTCTGAAAAGTGGAGCATCTGCTCCACAACTTGCTTTGGCTGATAAGCTGGGTACTTGAATACCTACAAATCTTAGTCCATTTTAACATACAATCAGATCTTTGCTAAAAACCAGGTGGCTTTGAATCTTAAAAGGCAAAACAAAACAAACCAAACAAAAAAAACACCAGGAATTACTAAATTGCTAGAATTCTTTCTTGAGGGTCCTCCTGTGGAAGTAGGATTATAAATTTTGTCTCTTTCAGGACTCTCTTATTCTCCTCTCATGAAAGTAAAGGGGAAGCTGGCTGGTACTGAGATAATTTCCAGTTGGCTCACCTGGATGGAACTTTATTAAGCCCTGTTTGGCTGACCCATTTTCCAGTTGACAGAGTAAAAACCTAACTGTTCCAACAAAGATTTCATGCCTCTCTGGGAGTCCAACAAGATTAAGAAACAGGAAGCAGCACATCCAGTCCAACTAAATGACCACGTGGTAGGTTTGTGTTTTTTTTTTTCTAATAGAGTTTTTAAGTATTCAGAACTAGTTGAAAAGAATCTTCTTTAAGTAATTCATTCAGCAAACACTAACAAGGTAGATAGTATTCAATGCATGATGCTGGGCATCAGAGGATACCAAGACTTGGTCTTTGTGCTCAAGGAGCTCCCGATCTAAGATGGAGAGAAAAGATATATGCACAGAATATTATAAATGTAACAAATGAGGAGTACAAAGAGCTAAAAGAGATCTTGGTGTATGCAAAGAGCTTTGGATTTGGAATTTGAGTCCTTGGGTTCCATTTCTGCCTCTGCCACTCATCTCTTGTATGACTTCTGGGTAGGCAGATAAGTTTCTTTATCAGGATGTAAGGCAGCTTATTATTGGCCATATATACATATGGCAGAAATATGGTGAGGCAGGAGAAAACAATAATTTCATCCCCTAGCCTTAGTTTTATTCCTATGTCTTTCTGTTTCCCATTTATTTGCATGGGAGACAGAAAGTATCTTAGGGCTAAGAAAGTAGGGACCTCCAAACTCAGAGAGCCCTTAGCAGTTTTCTGGTAAGACAGCCTCCAAACTGATCCAAATTGGGTGTAGTTTGGCAATCAGAAACTAAGCAAAGATCTACAAGAAATGTCTAACCCTAAGCCAGAGTGAAGCTTCTGACCAGTATGCTGTCCTTACTGACCAGAAAACTGAAGTTAAAAAAGAGACAAGTCATAAAGTATTAGTTAGTTGGGAGTGTCATTGTGTTTTAAGGAACTTGTCACCTGGAATGAAGAGTCTCTTTTTGGAGAGGAAGGACTCGTTCAACCAAGATTTGGAGAAACAGACAAAACCTCCTCTCTCTTCCAACCCCTCTTTTTTCTTTTAAATAATAGTAACTTCCTGATGTCCCCACCTCATCTCATTCCCCACTGAACCTTCCTTTGTAACTAAGAAACACACTTAAGCAAAACCAACAGAAAATGTGCTTGTCTAACCACATACACAGCATTCTGAAATCATAGTCCCCTACTTCTCCATTGCCAGGAAGGAGTTGTGTTTCATCATCTGTTCTCCAGGTTCAATACTGGTGATTGCAACTTAATGTTTTTTCTTTAATATTTTGTAGTCATTATGTGATGTGTGAAATGGATAAAAAGCTGGACTTGGAGTCAGGAAGATCTGGGTTCAAGTCCTGCCCATCACACTTACTGACTGTGTGATTCTGGGCAAGTCATATAACTTTTCTGTGCTACAGGATTGTTGTGAAGATCAAACGAGATGATATTTGTGAAGTGCCTTTCAAACCTTAAAGTACTATGTAAATGCTTGTTACTACTACTACTACTATTCCTATTACAATTTCAACAGGAAAAAATACATTTGGAAAAACAGGACTGACTAAAGAGACCAATGTGGGTTTGATGTGAATATATCAACCATTTAGTTTTTTAAGAGACACAGATAATATATGGAAGAAAGAGCAAGTAATGGAGGATAAATGCAAATCCTGTAGAAATGATGTCAATTCAGTCAGCTGACTCATCTTGACATCTCATTAGAGTACAGTTCTTAAAGTTAAATGTTTTACAGGGGTGATGCGAGGGCTTTTCTACACTCATCTGAAGAAATGGCTAAAGCTGACAATAAATTCAAAGTATAACAAAGTGGCAGAAAGAGAAAGACTAAAGAAGTGACAGTTCTTTTGCTTAGGGTAGGATTATAATAATGGACAATGGAGAAAATGTCTTAACTATTCAATTATTTTTCCCAGGTTTTCTCTGTTAAGGAGAATAATTTTTGAACTGGGACACATAGAACTAAAATAGTTAAAAGTATTAATATCCAAGATAAATGAGGAACTATTAAATAAAAATTTAGCTGCCATTAATGAGTTTACATCACCAGGCCTGAACAATCTATACTCCAGAGTACTGAAAGAGTGGACAGATATGGTTACTTGACCACCAACCCTGTTCCTTGAAAAATTATGGGAAATGGGAGAGATGTTGCATACCTGTAGAAGGCTAACTTCCTGATTTTCAAAAAAAAGAGGAGAGAGGGTGAATTCCACAAATTATAGGCTGATGAGATTGACTTCTATCCCTGGAAAAATTCTAGAACATACGAAAGTGGTCATCTCTTAGTATTTAGAAGGGGAAGTAGGCATTGTTAACGACTACTTCGGGTTCATATACAATAGGACATTCCAGCCTAACTTCTTTTCTTTTTATGGTAGGATTATTTGATTCAGAATGCTGTGAACACAATGTAACTTAAAGTTAGCAAAGTCTTTGACAAAGAGTCTCATCCTATTCTTAGAGGAAAGGTGGAGGGATGTAGGCTAGTTGATAGAGAATTCAGAAATGGTTGAATGACTAGATGCAAAGAGGTCATTTAATGGGTCACATTGGAGAGAGATGTCTATTGGAATGATCCAGGGAGATGTCTTTGCCCCTATGATAAATTACACCAAAACTGAAGTAGTCATTGTATTTGGGGTGCTCGCTCTCTCTCCCCCTCTCTCTCCCTCTCCCCCTCCCCCCTCTCTCTCCCCTTCTTCCTCTCTTCCTATCTCTCCCCCTCTCTCTCCCCCTCCTAATATCTAGCTCAATGCCTTGCAGATTGTAAGTGCTTATTAAATGTTTGTTCATTTGATCAAATTGAATTCCATCAATATTTAGATGGTTGACACCTGACTGGTCAATTCAGATAGATGTAATAAAGGAAGGAAACAAGCATTTATTAAATACCTACTATGTGTCGGACACTGTGCTAAGCACTTTGCAAATATTAACTCATCTGATTCCTACAACCGCCCTGGAAGGTAGGTACAATTATTATCCCCACTTTTTACAGTTGAGGAAACTGAGGCAGGCAGGGCTTTTGCAACTTTCCCAGTGTCACACAAACATTAAGTGCCTGAGGCCAGATTTGAACTCAGGTCTTCCTGACTCCAGGCCCAATGCTCTATCCACTGTGCTACCTGGCCCCTGGGGTTTGGGTTAGATGATGTCTAAGGCCTCCTCTTATTCTGAGGATCTGACTTTGGATTCCTATTTAAGGTACTTAGAGCAGGCAACACCCAGGAGAACACTTACCAGTCAGGCCACTTGTGTGGTGGATGAAGTCTTCTCTGGCTGTTCACTTCAGTCTGATACAGCAGTTCCTCTCACTAAGTACTGTCTTTCGGCTTCAAATCAAAACCCATGTAATTACTCTCTGGGCATCTTCAGGCTTATTGGCTGACATTCCTGGCAAAAATAAAGAAGGAAAATATGATTGTATATGTATAGCCTGTATTAGATTGCATGCTGTCTGGAGAGGGGGGAGGGGAGGGAGAAAATTTAGAACTCAAAATGTTATAAAAGTGAATGTTGAAAACTAAAAAGGAAGAAAGAAAGAAGGAAGTTCACGTATAATAATACTTTAAGGTACGGGAAGTGCTTTTCTCATGAAAACCCCATAAAGTTTGTTTCACAGGTATTATCACTCCCCGTTTTACAGATGAGGAAATAGAAGCTGAGAGAGATTATGAAATTTGTTCAAGGTCACATGACCAGGAAGTGTCAGAGCTGGGACTGAACCCAGAAAGACAGACCTTTGGAAAAGTTCCCCTTGGACTCTGTTACTTCCACAAGGGTATATGGGCATAGAAATGCCAAAAATCACTTTCATACCAGGGCAGCTCCCTAAGATATCCTAAGGTCATGCACCTTTTTGGGTGAGAACTGGTAGGTGTGGGTAGGATCTCTCTCAGGTGAGTCTTGTTAGGAAGAAATTAGATACTGACTAATGCCAGAGCCCTGAGAGACCTAGCTGAAACAAATAGGGACTACATGCATGGGATATGGAAGTTTCCAGAAAAGGGCAGAATAAGTTGGCATTCCTAGGGTGCATAGAAAAGGCAGTCTGGCACAAATAAGCCTTCTGGGTCTCAGAGAGGTCCACAGGATCTAGGTGAGTTTTGTTTTGTTTGTTTGTTTTTTGGACTGTCACACCAATTCTCATGTGGCTGGTAAATGGCTGTGAGACAGTATCAAGAGAGGAGTTCCTCAAATGGTTTTGAATGTAGTGCTTATTTTGAATTATAATTTTCATTTGAGGCATAAGTTCTGGTATGTTTGTAAAAGGAAAAACAGCATCAACCAGATTCATTAAGGATCATATTAAATCCTTTAAAATATCTGATAAAAAGGAAAGCAGTTTTCTAATAAGGGCTGCAATCCACGTGTAGGATTTGGTGTCTCAATTGGAAAGAATTTTGATTTTGTTGATTCAGGATCAAACTCATCACTGTGTGCCTTTGAGTTTGGCCCCCATTCAAGCTAAAGCTCTGAGGCTTTTTGACATTAAGAAACAATGTGATGATGGATCCAAGGATGGAAAATTCTGTATAAGCAAGGGTTGGTTCATGCATTTTTTAAGGCAGTCATGCCTTGTATAACATCAGGGTATAAGGTAGAACCACTAGTACTGATGAGACAGCAGCTCAAGAAAGCAGAAAAACTTTCTGCTTTCAGACACAGAAAGACCCAAAACTTGATTTTTAATACTTATGCTGCCTATAGAGTAATTTAATTTAAATTTTTCTGAGAAAAAGAAAGAAGCAAAAGATATTCTTGACTTTATTTCTAAAAAAAGTCATAGAATAACTTCCAAGTCTTCTCAAAAATCTCAGAATCACAGAATCTTAGAAATTAAAGGGATCCTAGTATAATCCATGCCTGAAGAGAGCCCTCTACAGTACGTATACTTGACTAGTGGTTAGCTAGCCTTTTTAGGAAGACCTCCTGTAATGGTGAACCCATTCCCTTCTAAGTCAGCACCTTCCACTTTCGGATCCCAAAGATGTATGTAAAAATAATGCCACTCATGACTTATGGACTTTCTGGTTTATTGGATAAACTGTCATCCAGCACTCTCAAATTCTGGTTTGAAACAAACCAGTTTCAGTCTTGATGAGGCTATTCCCTCCAAATCATGTATCTGATTCACTTTGCCTTTATCAAGCATTTCCTCTGGAAATCTCAGATTACATCTCATGTCTAGGTCTACACAGATATTTGCAAAAAGATTCTCATTTCCCAGGAAAGCATTCAAGGTAACAAGATAATCTTCATTTCATCTCACACAAAATATAAATTAACATAACATAAAGTACTCTTAGCAGCCCATAAACAGTTGATGCCCTTTTCCCTCTCTGGTTAGTTTCATCCTGAGTCAGTTAAACATTTAGTAAGCCCCTATGTGTTGGGCACTATGGTAAGTGCCAGGGATACAAAAAAAGGCAAAAACCAGTCCTTCTTCTCAAGGAACTCACAGTCTAAGGGGGAGGAGACATTCAAATAGCTATGTACAAGCAAGCTACATTTAGGACAAATTGGAAATAATTGCCCCAAGAATGTACTGTATAAAGACCTCTGGCCTTACAGTATTGTGATATGGGATTGAACTCCCATTGAAAAGAAATGAGTTCTGGGTTCCAAGAGAGTGGTCCCATTGGACCCATACCTTCCTAATAACTCCTCCTAGCAGCAGAGGGCAAACTCTAGATGTGGGATCCTTTGTATTATGCTTTCTTTTACTACACCTGCAAGGCTAAATACTGGATTTTTCAGTCCAGATCCTCTTGACACTCATTCAGAAGGGCTAGCTTTTGGAAGCTCTCAATACCTGGCTACATTATTCCCTTCTTCATCCATGATTGTCATCTCTCAGCACAAGACATTATGTCATTGCTTCCCCATGTTTGGGGCTCAGAACTCTGAAGTCCAGGAACTCTTTGTGGAGTTGTATGGTTAAAAGACCCTGCTACTTTCTTCTCTAGCCACATGGGTTAAGCCATGAGCAACTGCAAAGTGCTTCCCCCTGCCCCTCCAGATAGTTATTACCATTTCCGGAGTTATGGGGATGCACAGGCTTGCTTTCACCTCCACCTCTGTCTCCATTCCAATCCCCAACCACCCAGGTCTGCTTTTAGCTCTTCTCTAGTTGTCTGGGATGTGTGTGTGGGTGTGAGTGTGAGTGTGAGAAGAAGAAAGGGCTGACTCTTCAACAAAGACTTCCTCTTATAGGCACAGCAAAAGGATTCTGCGATAGGATCTGATGCCAGCCAGGGCCATGTTATGGAGTGCACGTATACCTATACAGGTTTTATCTTAAATACTCGGTATCATCTGCTGTCAATACTTCCTTTAAATGGTCTCTCTTCTATTTCTGAAGTTTTCATTGTCTTATCTTGTGTTACATTTTACATGTTTTTTGGTTATGTTTACATCCCAAGCCACCTCTAATACTTTGGAAGAAACTGAGTTTTAAACCCAAAAGAATTTTTGGAAGACGTTTAGACCTGTGATTTCATTCATGTAACTTCCTCCACTGATACAGATCAGGAACTTGCTTGTAATGTTCTTAGAAAGGTTCTCCAGTATGGAGCATAGAAAAGGTATTGTTGCATCTGGAATCATAGGGCCTAGTTTTGAATCCTGGCTTTGCTAACTTTTTTCTTTTGTGACCTCTGACAAGTCATTTGACATCTCAATATCTCATTTTCTTCACCTGTAAAATGGCAATATGAGACTAGACAATCTTTATGTTTTCTCCAGACTCTAAATCTCTGTTATAGGTTAAGTGACTTGCCTAACATTGCACAATAATAAATACATGACAGGGGTAGGACTTGGCCCAGCAGGGCTTTTTGATTCCAAGACCAGCCCTCTACTAATTACACCATGCTACCTAATGAAAAAACAAAAAAATGAAATAAAAAATAAATGAAATGAAAAAATGAAAAAAATTTAAATAATATTTTATTTTTCCCCAATCATATAAAAATCAATTTTTAGCATTCTTTTTTAAAAGAAGTTTTGAGTTCCAAATTGTATCCCTCCCTCCCTTCTTCCTCTCCTCAGTCCTTGAAATGGTAAGCTATCTGATATAAGTTACATATGTGTAATTATATAAAACGTTTCTATATGAGTCATTTATGTGGAAGAAAACCTGAACCAAAAAAGAAAGATAAGAAAGAAAGAAAAGAAGGAAGAAAGGAAGGAAAGAATAAAAAGAAAGAAAAAAAGAAATAGCATGCTTTAGTCTGTATTCAGATGCCATCAGTTCTTTCTCTGGAGGCAGTTAGCATTTTTCATTGTGAGTCCTTTGTAAGTGTCATGGATTATTGTATTGCTGAGAATAGGTAAGTTATTCGAAGTTGATCAATATTGCTACCACTGTGTACAGTGTTCTCCTGATTCTGCTCACTTCATTCTGCATCAGTTCATGTGAGTCTATCCAGGTTTTTTCTGAAATCATCCTGCTTGTCATTTCTTATAGCACAATAATATTCTATTACAATCATATGTCATAACTTCTTTAGCCATTCTCCAATTGATGGGCATCCCCTTAATTTCCAATTCTTAGCCAACACAAAAAGAGCTGCTACAAGTATTTTTGTGCAAATGGGTCCTTTTCTCTTTTAAAAAAAATCTCTTTGGGCTAGAGACCTAGCCCTAGCATTACTGCATCAACGGATATGCACAGTTTTATAGCATTTCGGGCATAGTTCCAAATTGTTCTCCAAAATGGCTAGATCAGTTCACAACTCCACCAACAATGCAACCTAATGAAAATATTGAAGAATTTTAAAGAATTAAAGGGAGCTGGTGTCTGTAGAGGAAGGCACCTTAGGAAGTAGAAGACAAAAAGCTACATTAGAGAAGCCAGAGAAAGCAGGACAAACCCAAAAGAGGAAAGAGAAGCCAGCACAGAAATCAGGGGTGGAAGACAAGTCTTCTAGTTCTTTGAAGTCAGGGACTGTTTCATTTTTGTCTTTGTATCTCATGTCCTAGCACAATGCTTAGCACATAAAAGACACTTAATAAATACTTGTTGCTTGATTGTATCACCCACAGAAGATGAAAATAGGTTCAAATGAGATAATATATGAGGTTTGCCAACCTCAAAGTGGCCTATAAATGTAGGCATTATTAAGACAGAGAAAATAAATTTATAGATGTAATTTAGTACAATCTCCTCATTGTACAGATGAGGAAACAGGATCAGAGGGTTAGCAGTTTGCCCCAGGTACACAGGTAATAAATGGCAGATTTGAACCGAAGTCTGGACTCCCAAGGTCAAGTTCTTTCCACTGTACCAACCTACCACCCTGAGGGATGTTAGTTTCAAGTATTTCAAAGGGCTTAAATTCAGAAGTTTCTTTTGCTTTTGGCTTATCCTTCCTGTTCTTGGTTTAGTTTGTGTTAGAAAGTTCAGTTACCAAAGATTACAAGAGACGTTTTTCCCCCTTGTCATTATTAGACTATTTTCACTTAAAATTTGGGAAAACTTTCAGATGAAAGTGATTTAGAACAACCAGAGGAGATGATGTAAATAGATCTTTTTAGGCTCTTAAGGTTTCCCAGTATGTACTTTTAAGTCTCTTAAAGATGAGAAAATGAACAACCCAACTCCATAATCACCCTGGAATGATTGGCATCTCTTCAAGTTCCATAGAC